ACCCCCATGTTAGTAAGTCGCGAAAAAAATCGGTTTTCCGATGCCGACCGCCAAAAATGGATTTCAGATTCGTAATCTACACCCCAAAAAACATATAATTAAAAAAAAAACACCCTTTTTTTTGGATGTAGTTAATCTGCAATAATACCACTAATTTCAACACAGCTTGGAATTAGACACACACAGCTCATTGCAAGCTGTGTGCAAAAATGGAAATTTTCTTAATTAAAAGCTTAATAGATCTTAATTAAAAGCCTAATTAAGTAGTGTAAGTGTAACTACCTAGTGTTCACTGTTCAATATTCAATAGTGTTCTACCTAATTCCAAAATCCAAGCTGTGACCGTGTGTGTCGTATTCCAATACAGCTCACACAGCGATCGGAATTCGAACACAAGGCCCGCTAGCTATTCTTCACTTTGAAGTTTGAAGGAAATTTAGTGCATGACAACATATTTTTATTGTTAGCTGGCAAAATTACTCCATATCATATTCCAAGTGTAGTAGTGTACAATATACCTATTTTCAAGTTTACTGATGCATCATTCATGATCATGATCATTGGGTTTCTATAAGTTAAAGTGCAGTTTTTTTGGCTGACGAAAGTGTTCAGAACTTCAGGTCCACAATATCTAGGTAGTCTACATGCTACATCCAGGATCCAGCCCCAGCGTCGGCCACATGGGATGCCGGAACTCGTGAGGAAGAGGAAGGTGATTGAGCCTTTGAGGCCTTGGTAAGTTGGTTACGACTTACGAGGAGCTGCTCCTGTTTGCTGCCTATAGTATAGGTCACTCGAATCACTCCCATAATGATAAGACGCGCACTGTGAGTGTGACCGTTAACGTCTCATGCCAATGATCAGAGAAGCAATTGCTCCGTTAGCAATTTTTCGCTGCCATTCCGCACTGTAGACTGTTTATGTTATTAGCCAAATTTGGAAACAAATATGCTAATCCGCAATAGACCATTTTTCGTGTTAGTTGAAAATATAATATCTTACTGGGAATATGAGAGTCAATGAGTTTTTTATTGCTAATCTAAATATGTTCGGATGCTATAACGGCAATTTTGCTTTTATATTGTGAAGTATTATTTAATTGCAAGATATTGCCAAATCTTGCATTGTGTACCGTTGAGCGATGCAATGTCCAGTCGCTAATCCGTAAGCTACTAGCTACGGTAGTCACAAATAATTCACCCACCCCCCTATTTCTTTCAATTTCCTGGATTTATCCTCAATTTTACATTAAAAAAATGTTTAATCGCATAGGAAAACTCCAGTCAAAACAGCTGTTTTTATCGTCCAAGTTCCCTTCTTCTTCACATGTTCAGTGTCTTTAACACGAACAATGATCTAGCCTGCTGCATAATAGGATTAGCGTAAAAAGTTTTGAAGTTAGTGATCCTTTATTGAGTACAGATTACACGAGAAGCGGTGCAGAATGCTGGAGTAAAAAAGCAATAGTAAAATTACCATAAACAGAACTGTGGGTGACGTAGGGGCCTCGTACTGTCGTAGGGAAATTACGCTCCTCAGAGGTAGAGCGAACTGCGACAGACTTGTGATAGCGAGGATACGAGGTAGCACTCACTTCGAAGGCAATTTGAACTCACAGCAACTAATCAGAAATGAAGTAACTTAAAAAAACAATCGATATAATAACACGGAAATTTTTAGCGAAAATGCATGATTCATAGTTCAAATCGATTCATGAGATCAGCATACCCAAATATCAGCGAGACAAGACAACGCCGTGTCGGGATCATCGTCACTCGAAGCTCTATCCCCGTAGAAATAAACGTCACTGAAAAGTATAGCATTGTTTGCAAGCTTCAGAAAACTGCATAGAAACTGGCCAACTGAAAATTTTTAGCACGAAAAATTTGCAGAACTAAAAATTAGATAAATACTTACCTATATCCCGGAACCTTGCAACAAATAAGATGCCATTTTAATTTACTATTACGATATTAATATCAAATCTCTTAAGAAACAAAAAATACTAAAAAATACTTATTTGAGACACAGATCTCATGGTTCTTCCTCGATATAAATAACGGATCTAAAGAATTTATTGGCATCGAGTGAGAGTACGTTAGACAAACGTAGTGTAAAATAAAATCTCGATGCAAGCTTTACTCGCGGCTAAGCTTGTATCGAACAAACTATGACAAACTTCGAAAGCTACTTGATTATTATCGAAAAAAAATTAATAAATTGTTTCGGCATTACGATTTTAAGACATCTGCATCTTAACGACAGCTAAAACCAAACAACAATAAACAGCAAATATAGTCTCAAAACAATCTCAATTCTACTAAATTATGGACACGAATATAGTTTCTTAAACATAAAATGAATGATTATCAGGATACAGTTCATAATGAAAGTAAAGATAATATTTCTTTTATAACAAAGCTAGTTGAAACAAAATTCATAACAGAATAAATGTAAGCAACGCTAATGGCATGCATAATTTCACTAGGTATACATCTAGAAACATTAGTTAGAATTAAACAGCACAGAAGACCAAGAAACTTGTAATATTCGTGAAAATTAATTAACATAGCGTAGAAAAAATATAGAGGACACAAAAAATTCTGCGGCATTCTATCTGGAGTTGAAAGCTGAAATATATTGTTGTATACAAAATTAACATTATTGCATGACTGTGCCAGAAGAATGTTTAGTGGCATCAAAACCTTGTATGCAGGCAGGCGCCAGAGCGAACGAATATAACACGAAAAGTGTACAAAATTAATCACTAACAATAGAGGCCAGTATTAAGCATCGGAACAATCTGGAACAGAATTACAACCAATAAGCGAAAACGAAATTTCGGTACTAAAACTGGAGTTCTAAAGAATTTTTGTGCCGTAGTTGAAATGTTTTAAACCAGTAAACACACGAATTCTTCGGCAGAGAAAATCTAAATGCTACTAAAAATTAAAGAAGCATTTATCGTTGACTAGTCCGAGCATAGCAATTTTATCAATAACCGAAGATCAGCAGGAGTACCAACCATAGTCACTAACATGAGTGACATTGTACGAGCAATTGAACACAAGCGATGCTGAAAAATATCTCAAATGCAAAAGAATTTTTCGGAACATGAAGGGTGTTAAAATGTCCTCAATTAAAAGAATTAGAGGAAGAAATGATTTGAATTTAAATTTACGTGTGAAAGACGCAAGGAAAATCGATTAAAATTTGACTGCCAACTTCTCATTTCATTGTGACAAGTCATAACATGAAGATAAAATGTAGAAGAAAGCTGACAAATAAACGAATTTTGTTGTGAATCAATTCGATCATTGACTCAAAATCCTTTATAAATTGTGAGAAAACATTGCGGAGACACAGCGATATTGTGACAAAATTTATTCCCTAAAGAACGTGTACGAGAGACACGTCCGTCAGCCGTGACTTATAACGAGAACGTCTAAAAACATATTTCCAAAAAGATAAAAAAAGATCTCTCATCTTATTCGCAAAAAGGTAAAAGATGTGCACAGAAATTGGGGAAAAATTCCAGCAGTTGCAGACAAGCGACATCAGCGGTAGCATGATAGTTTGAACAGGCGTCAGCAATTACACTACTTAAGTCACTCTAATGAACGCTATGAACTCGAACGGCGACATGGAGCATAATATCAAATTATATTTCTTCCAATATTCAGATGACAATTATTGAGAACGTAGTCTTGATTACAAAGACGAGTCATTCTATTGCGTGGGAAGTGAGACTTAGGATCAAGGATCATCAGATGCAGATCAATCATTTTTAAAACGCAGGCATGAAGAAGTGTAAACCTTTTAACTACGATAGCGAAAGCTACGTAATATTCGTGATAATTTTAATGAATGACAAATACAGAATAATATTTCGGGAAGTCAAGATAGTACATGAATATATAAGAGAATTTACACGATTCGTGGCAGGCATGAAGAATTACGAACTTTTTGCCTGCGGTTGCATTAGTTAGGGAAAATTTGATATAAATTGAAATGTATTCAAAATACGAAATAATGATTTAGTTTTGAAAAAATTAGAAATCATATAAATGCTTAAGAAGATGCTCATGATTCCTGATATACAATCATCGACCATTATAATAATCAACGTTATCTCTGTTAGTACAACATATTTCTGGGATCCTAATTAACGATAATAAAAACTCTCAAACCCCAATTGAGTGATGACAAAGTTAACAAGAAAATTCACTGAATAACACATGGAAACCAAGACAGTTCAAAGAAACTTTGCCAATCCGTTCGCGCCCGCGTGTTGCGGAAATCTTTCCAAGCCCCGGTCGAGTTCTAAGGTTCCAGCACCAACGTGATCCATTAAACTACTTATACAACTAAACACTAGTTATTATCAACCACCTGAGCACCCACTAACCACTTTTACCCAGAAAAAAGCGCCTAACTCTATTCAGCAGAACCCATGTTACCTATTGCAATAATTACGTCTAGGTTCATCAAGACTACACTAGAATACGTGGCGCTCAAGGCGATCTCAATGTAGCGTAACATATGAAGATAATACCAGCAAGCTGCCAAGTGAATGATAAATAAGAATAAATCGCAGGGAATTTTTTCAAATATTAGGTAGCTTTATATTCAAATTATTCGAATATGAGATTAAATGTAAATAGTAATTTGTAACCAGACATGTTAGGGTAGAAGTAGCGTTCGAAGCTATGACAAAGAGAAACGTTTGAATCTGTTCTTCGAAATCATTCAAAGTTATATTGCTCCAAAGAAAACTGCATTCAAATTATAGGAATGGAATAATAGTTCCCTACTAATAGCTTAAAATACTAGGGGATTCCACACACAGGAAAGGCAGTGGCAATCGAATGGAATATCGACAACACTTATGTATGGACTTCGGTATTCCTAGGCCTGAACTCGCCAGGTAGTTTACAACCGAAAGACAATTAAAAATCTGTGATACAGACTGCATAGTAACCGATGCTCAACAATTGAGACGCATCCAAATAAAATATAGCTTAGTACCAAATAAATAAATTCCCTTCACAACATGGAACTGGAGCGGAAATATCTGGTCTTAAAGATCATATGCCGTTGAGGTGATGGTGCAAGAGTCGCTTTACGTGTGACCGAGATTGCTTTTGTGACGAGAATTACGAAGTAAGCAGGTCATCGTACAGGTTAAACCTTATATTAAATAATAATTAATTAGATTACATTGACTAAGATTTGCACGAGCTCTGCCCTCTCAGAGCTACTAAATTATATATACTGGTCCAGGAACAGTCGAGATCGACGCCGTTCGTTAATACAGAGGAAAGTAGCATGTGACACGGCTTAACACATCAACAGAATAAAGACTCATGAGAAATTATAGTCTAATTCAAACAATAATGATAATACATTTGAGAACGATACTAAATAAATGACACTCACATAAATTGAGAGTCGTCAGGGAGAAAAATATGGCGCCAGACGAGTAGGTTAAAACTTCCACGCAATGTCAATCCACAAGTATAATTGCTCTCTGAAGCCGCACCTTAAGAGGGACATGCAGCAAACGCTACGAGACTAATAGTCTAGAGACTCGACTATTAGTCTCGATTATAGCCTAGACTCGAAGCGTCTAGGCGCTAGACTAAAAGTCGAGGGGCACGGCGAAGAGCGGCTCTCGCACGCAGAGCGGTGAGGTCTTCCTTTATGACGGGCACAGAACTGGGAACAGACAAATGATATTGAATTAAAGGGAACTACACCAGGAATATCTTTAATTCACGATCCTCAAGTGACAGCATTAAAATAGTTTTCACCTCTCTAACAAAGGTAGATGAAAAGTTTTCTTCACAATATTATTCGGACATTTATATAAGAGATAATGAGAAGTCATAGTGACACGATATGAGTATATTTCACCAGCATATCGTCTCCTTATGTTACAATAAGGAGACGACATATTCTCCTAATATGTCGTCTCCTTCAAGATTTTTATTAGTTTCGTTTTCTATCCACGTGCTGATTACACGACATTATCACCGATTATATAAAAACTTGGCATATAACGAGCTGGTATGACCAATATACAGTAGTTCACATAAACAAATTCAACTTCTTGCTTTTGTCTCCTGTCATGAATCTCAGTTTAGTGGATTTTCAGGAGCCAGTTTATTGGATTCTCTGGGGCCAGTTTATTGTATTCTCGGGGGCCAGTTTATTGTATTCTCGGGNTAATTATAGGTTCAGTTTATTGTAATCTATAGGTTCAGTTTATTGTAATCTATAGGTCCATTTTATTGTATTCAATTGAATATCTGCTCTCACCTTTGAGGATGTAGTCGGTGAGCAGGGCTGGCACCGTGGGACTGTCCTCGTTGATGGCCGCCAGAACTGCAAGCAAATATCAACGACATTATTAATATCAAGTCAATTACAACTCGCAGAAACTGATTATTTTTACGAGTATTGTAGACGCTAGCAGGACTTTTTAGTGGGAATTAGAAGTAGTATTAGAATGGCTTGCTAGCGCTTCAAGCTATTTCGCACCGTAGTTCAAAAGATAACATCGCCAGTGAGGCGGAAAGTCTCAATTATTAAAAATCTAAAATGAATCATCACCCATAAGGAGCGAAAGGTCTCAATAGTCCAGCCCGCTGAAGCTGGCTCAAAAGAAGCAGTGTTAGCATCTCAAAGAGACGAAGTGAAAAGGAGGGACAGGTGAAAAGTAACAGAAACTAAGACACTCGAACAAGAGGTCGCTTACACGGGACGTCGGCCGCCCGCACGAGAGAGACAGAGAAGGGAAATGTAAGGAATCCTACCTACATAATAACTTAACCCCACAACTGAGACTTACAGTCAGACACCGCGAGCGGTGGGGCGCTCAGGAACAATCCCCCTAGGATCGCGAGATCCCATAGGACTTCTGACGAGCACAGACACACGTCAGAAGTCCCCCCCCCCCCCGAGGGGTAACTACTAAGAAATTTCTTAACACAGGCGGAGCTACAAATTTAGTTAGACCGCACGAGAACGAAAAATACCGCACGAGAAAAAAATATAAAACGAGAACGACTTCTATATGGTAACACCAACCGATTTTGAAGTAACTCAAATAAAAATGCTTGTTACGAGTGCTTAGGTCGGTGAAAAATGTGTTGATGTGCATGCCACACGTACATGCCGTACATGTACATGTCACACGTACATGCCGTGCCGCACAATACAATAAATAACACTAGAAACAACATTCCGAGTTACCGATAAATTGCACTAAAATCATTGTTCTGTAAAGTTGATGTCGTACACAGAGCAGCCCGTGCACGTTGAAGCCTGTGTGTAGGTGGCAGCCTGCGTGCACGTAGCAGCTTACGTATACATAGCAGCCTGCATGCACGTAGTAGCTTACATATACATAGCAGCCTACGTACACGCAGCAGCCTACGTACACGTAGCAGCCTACGTGCACGCAGCCGCCTACGTACACGCAGCAGCCTACGTACACGCAGCAGCCTACGTACACGTAGCAGCTTACGTATACATAGCAGCTTACGTACACGTAGCAGCCTGAGTAAACATAGCAGCCAAAATCTTACAAGTGATGGGTAGGTCCAGCTATTTTAAATTATTATATTTCTACTGGAAGGCTATTAATTTTTGCTAGCACGGCTCCTGGACATCTTACTTTTGTTGAGGATCTGGAGGCTCTGGTTGTCCGGGGGTCCGTGGCCCACGTCGTAAGGGATCACCGTTGTCAGGTACTGTCAAGGAGGCATGGCGTTAAGCTACAAGGTTTGTTAGATTTTCTGAATATTTAAGCATTGATATAATTAATTATTATTTAAAGCATCGAGATCCGCACTGTGAGCAATATAGACGAAAATTAAATAAAAAGTTATTATTTACCTTAGAATGCACGGCAAGCATTGTTTATAGCACGGCATTATGATCAGTGAACCTTTTTATTGTATTTAAAAGAGCTATATTTCACTAGACGTTAAATAAAGTAGCGACAGTAAAATATTGCACACCTTAGGACCAGCGCCATGATTGGTGGACTTTTTAACATTCTTTTTATCGACGTTGAAGTTCCGTCTTTTATTCTGTACTTGAAGGAGCAGGGAGATGAAGGAGTTCTTGAGCTCCTTCTGGAACTCGAGTTCATCCCTGAGTGCGAGCTGCGAGATGAGTGTCTCAGAGTACTGGCTGATGACGGTCTCGAGTTCCATGAGACACTCGTTGAGTTGAGACACCGTGAGACTGCTGAGCTTGTCATGGTACAGCGGCGATGGCAGCGGCCGCAGTGACGACCTGCCGGCCTCTGACCCGACGCTGCTGTGCGTGCTGCTCGTGCAGCCCTCGTCCTCACTCGAGCTGCCCTCCTGCACAGCACCATCGAGTTGTGGAGGTGACAGCCATCATGGCGGCGCAGAAAGCCATTAATATAGCTTAATATTAATTTAATTTGTCAGCTTCTTCCCTCCCTCGCTTCGTCTGCAAACTTACGCCCACTGTTAACCACCCTCTCTGCGTCCTACCCCCCTAACCTAGGAGTTGGAGTCCAACCCCCTAAATTGCACCACAAACAACGACCTACCGATCCACCTCAGAGGATAACTCATAATAATAAAACTAATGGATAACTTAAACGGCTAAAAGTAAATATAGGCAAAAAACATATAAATACAACCTGCGTAGAGCGAGTCAAGTCACCGACATGGATGATACGGTACCACGGATACCTTAGAGATGGTTCTTCTTATCGCTATAGGAAAGGACAGATAAATAAGGCCGGTATAGTCACGGACCTGCATGATGTCGTCGATCTCCCTGATGACCTCGTCGGCGGTCTTGAGGGGCGGGTCGCCGGGCGTGGTGCCATCCCCGGACTCCAGGATGAGAGTGTGCAGGTCCAGGTCCTGCGCTACGGCCTCCTCTTCGTCACCTCCTACCAGGGGCGTCGCGCCAGTGCTCACAGGCGAAGTGCCATCCTGGGGCAGGATACGATTAGCATATTGTCGCCGCAAATACGACCGCAAAATTACTCATGAACGTGCAATAGTCAGTAATAAACATATCAGCAAGGCCCGCTTAGCCTCAGCTTAGGCAGCTAGCGACCGTACAATCGTCAGCAACAAACTTATCTGCCAGGCACGCGGAAATCAATTGACGTCGTAATAAATTCAGTTATAAACCGATCAGTCAAATACACAGGAAATAATCTAATTATCAGAACCAGCAATAGCTAATGAAGCCTGGAAGTAAGTTTGGCTGAAAATTAAGTGTTGAAAGCACAAGAAGCTTCAATCGCCGTTAGTAGCGTTGTTGGAAGCACGATAAAAACGAATACAAAGTGCATAAATATTCACAAAACGAACAAAATTTGATCAATTGTTCAGTTCGGAACAAAACCTAAACAATTTCGGCCGAAATCAATTCCCCCAATAGATTGTATACGAATTGTAATTCGTTAATTTCATACATATAAACTTTTTTAAATGTGCAACGATGTTTTTATGCAAGGATGAATGCGCGAAGATGCGTCGCAAAATAATTTTATACCTAATAAAGTTCTTAAATGTACAACGATTGTTTTCTGCAAGTATGAACGTGCCAAAAGGTTGCTCGAGTGCTCACTGCTCACCAAGTTCGAGTTGAGGTTGAGAACAGGCAGAAACTTCTGGCGTGTGTGACTCTTGCTCCAGTCAATAGGTAATAAGTTGCCAAAATTTCCTGTGATCGTCCACCACATCCTGGACATAGAATATTCACAAGTCTTAACTTCAACTATAAAAAAATAGAATATCGTACGACCCACTACGACGTACCTACCTACGTCAGCATTCTAGTATAAGCTCTGTCAGCTGACCAAACTTACTTGCCTAAGTACATTTTATCAATATCCAGGTGAATATTAGTGTTAGATATAAAAGTGTTCCATCAAAATAAATGGCATGAATTCTGTCACGCAGCAGTTCATCAACTTCATTTGTAGTGAATTTTTGTGTTATTTATTCTATTAGAAGCTTAACAATACCGTATCCTCGTCTTGAAATTATTACAGAAAACAAAACTTACCCGTTCACGAGCGTCTAATTTTATATTAAAATCAAATTTAATTAGTGAAAACTCTACATATAATTACTGGTGTCATAACCTGATAATTTTTCGATGATTAGCATGGAAAAAGATTAAATGTTAAAACTTTTTGTTGCGTCTTGAGCTTTACAAAATGAACAAATGAAAATATTTTGTTCATTTACGTCATTTTTTAATAAAAAGAAAGATTAAATCGACGTGGCGACCCATTAATGATTCATCGCAAAATAAACGCGTAACCTTAGCCTTAGGCGACACATGCATCCATCGATTGGTGATCGTGCGTCTGGCTACGTTGGCCGAACTCCGCCCTAGATGGTCTCGATATACAACACAATAATATAGAGTTCTCACATGCAAATATACTCACTGGCAGTCATTCATAATTTCTTCCTGTGATCTAACTTGTACTGGAGCATATTTATCAACTTCGTCTTCATAATTGTGAAAACATTTGGTTATTTTCTCATCAAATGTGTTGACAAGGTCTTCTAAGGAGGTCGAAAATGTGTCGTCCAAGTTGTCGGTGGTATCAGACATGTTGTCCAAAACGTCATTATCATTTGGAGTAGATACAACGGTTCGGGATACATTTTTATTTCTGTTGGGTTCACTTGAAGACTGAAAATCAGAAAACTCGTCCCATTCGTCGTTATCAAACTTTGCAAGAGGCACAGACACTTTAATTTCAGGCATGATTACGCGGAGTAACCGACCACCCCGTAGCACGGAACTGATCTTACTGATGCCTTGCCTTCAAGTTCAAGTGTCTGTCTCTGCCACTCTTTCGCTGGTCTGCCTAAAGGCTGCAAAACATGGGCCATGCACGCATCCATACCCTAAATATGCTGGTTGTAATAGGCTTAGGATTCACTATTAATCATATGTACATTTATACAGTTTCGCATGGTAGAGGTAAAACTGAGGAATGGGCACTTAAAATTTATGAACGATACTTCTATAATTTCGCTGGTTACGTAAGAAAACTACAGCGTAGTTTTGCTCGTTAGTGAAATTGCATGCAAACTGTTATTTCAATTGTGCGTTAAATCAAATAAAAATACCTAATGACTCATAAACTATTAATAAAATATAATAATTATTAGTCGTATTTCCAAGCTCAAAACGATAGCTAAACCGTGTTTTTTTTCGACAAAAGTCATAAATTTTGGCTAAGAATTGAAAACGTACAGTTCAAAGATTCATGATTTTAATAGCAGCTGGCTAAAAGGAAAATTCTTCAACTTCAACATTTACTATATTGCCAGCACAGCAGCGTGAACTTGTTTGAAAGGATCTACCGAACGTATTGTGTACATTATTTAATAGTTGCCAACAATCATTGAGCTCGTCCTCTTCAGAAAGTGAAAGGGATACCAGGGTATGGCACCACGCCGAGGCATTCTTCCACTACTTGCCGACTTTCCACGTCTTCATCGTCTATCGCCTTACCGTGCAAAATTTCTCTAATTAAAGTCAGTTTAGATTGATTCATCAGAACACAGTCTCCACTTCGATTTTTCTCTAAACTTTTTATTGAACCGATAAGGGGATCAGCATGATTCTGAATCCATTTCTGAAATTCAACGATGACCTTACGCCATTTTCGAAATTCTATGCTGAAATTAGACCTCTACCTCTAGCACTGACGTCCCCAATAAAAATCCGCACCAGCTACTCGAACGGCATGCAGAGAAGATGGGCAATGATAGTCGGCATGAAATGAATTTTTTCGAGTCAAGTCATCAGCAGATCTATCACAGGCAGTGCAGTTATGTAAGGCACACTCTATTCCTAAAAACACAATTGAGCACATGAAAAAGTGAGTAGATGTGGCAAAAAGATGAGATACTATGAATTATTACGTTGTATAAACACTGAAGTGTGACAATAAAAATAAACTATAAACAGGCATTACTCAGTAAAACAACATCACACCTGTGGTCCCACGAGCTAAAATGCAACCAGTCTTGAATTTCATACGAATAAGTTCAAGTAATATCTATCTTGTACGTAATGTATATTACTTCCCGACTCCTACGCAAGGTACGGCCGCCAGAATACTTCAGGCAATATACGGTACCTTTCAAAAATAAACGAGAATCTATTTGCTTACTGTTATTTAAAACGAATTGACTAGAATTGAAAAGACCTTATATAAGTACTTACATCATTAGTCTGCTTATATCGCAAGTTCACAAGGAATTTAAAAGCAAAGAAAACGCCAAGAAAATTCACCATATCGATATTGAAAACGTTTCGGAGTCCAGCTCCATCATCAGTTCGACTAAACTAATGTTAGGTCCTGTTTAGGTTTTATGTCTGTCTTTGAATTTTGACTTTTAAAGTGATTTTATTCATTTTTAGTTTAGTCGAACTGATGATGGAGCTGGACTCTGCTACGTTTTCAATATCGATATGGTGAATTTTCTTGGCGTTTTCTTTGCTTTTAAATTCCTTGAAAAGACCTGTTAAACTATTTGAATACTAACTCTGAGATCGATAGAAGGCGTAATGAACGCTTCGTTGTAAAGACGACACACATTAATCACGAATAACATAATGACCATACAATCAGCTGGTCCGTCAGTAGAAGGTTTTATTGGGACCACCGGAGAAGCACCTGAAGAGCAACGTTAATTCTGGGTTAATCTGCGTCAATTAAAGGTCAAATTGAAATAAGCTACCGTATGGCTGCATGAGCCTTAGTATTTCGATCACGCGATCACTAGTGAATTCATTAGCCGAGTTGCTTATGAGTTATTCAATCTACCTAACTACCTACACCACAAGTAACAATACCGTACACACGGAATTTCTGAAAAACACGCGAGTTCGACCAACAGCAAAACTACAGTGACATAATCCTGGCGTAAAGTTATACTGGTCACACTGGTGCAGCAACATGCACAGTATTTGTGATGGGGGCCTCGTGAGGCCACATTCAAACCAATATAATGATTGTATGGAAAGATGTCTGCAAGAAACACAATTCACACCGAGAAGCAGTAAAATACCACTTCAAGACAACTTGATTAAAAAAGCATTTGTGAAAATTATCAGGCTAGGTACTGAAGATTCCAGTTCATGTAGAATTGTTATCGGATGCATCAGTGGCAGCACCAAACATGTGGTTATAGGTTGATGTGATCGCGGCCAACTGTCTCTGGAACGTCTCATTTCTGACTTTCATCTGGTCAACTTCCACTTTTAGTTGGCGGATCTGAGATTGATAGGCGCGCTCTTCACTTTCCTTCGCGGCAGTGATGGAGCGGACGTTGTCTTGCAGCTCCAAAAGCTTACTTCTGTTTTCAGACAGAATCGAGTTAAGTTTTGTTTGCGTCTCTGCTAAACTGGCTTCAGCTCTAGCGAGCTGAGCAGACCGCTCTTCCAGTTTAGTGTTAAGTGAGCAGTTCTCAGTGATGCGCTCTTCAAGCTGCTGGTTGAGAGCTGACAGCGCGCGCACTCGTTCACTCAGTGCTGTCTCGAGCTTGAGCCTCGCGCTTGTAACAGACTTGAGCTCGGACTGCGAGCGTGAGAGCTGGGCACGCAAGCTGTCAGCGTCGCTCGTGAGCTTCTTGAGTGCGACGTCCTTAGACGAGACATCGCGCTCCAGGCGAGATTCTAGCTCCTCAGCCTAGCAGGACAATTATGTAAGAAAAAAATGATTCAATGCCATTCATTGTGGCAGGATTTCATATAACAAATAATACGGATTTCTCACATTTATACATGCATTCCAAAACATTAGGTATAAAATATATAAATAATAAGTGACTCATTTATGAAGGAGTGTGAATTCTCCCTGTTAGCGCATTTCCTCATTTATGAAAAAAATGCACTATTGTGCTCGCCATGTCCGTCTGTCCGTCCGTCTGACTGTCTGTCCGTGACTTCACGTTTTCGTCGACGAGAAAATGCGCTCTCTGTCACTCACTGCAGTGAGTACTGAGTTATATTTTTTTCATGTATGGTAGCTCTACATAAGAAAATATATAAATCAATGCATTGATGAAATATTACCTATTACAGCTATTCCTTCATATAATATAGATCTGACCTTGTAGGGACACGTTTCTCACCTTCATACGATGCTGCAAACATTCTTTTTCAATTTCGCTCAGTTTTTTCTCACTCACGATGAGCTTTTCTTGTAGCTCTGATTTGGAATGCATTTCTTCTTCATATTTCAAATGAAGATTTTTATTTTCCTCCTTGAGGTGTTCACATAAGGTACCGAGTTCCCTGCATTCAACAGCAATGTTGTTCTGTTGCTGCAATGCATCCAACATTTTCGTGAGCGAATCTTCAATAGAGCGATGAAGCAATTTCATTTCAGTATCTCTTGTCTGGTCTGAAATTGTCAGGGCCCATTTTTCCAGGAGAGATCGTAAATGATCAACAGTGAGATTAGCCTCAGCGCCACTGCTCTCTGCACGGCCTTGCAGCTCCCCGGTAACGTCATTTCTACCATCCAAGCTTGAGGGAATAACTCTAGTGGCCGCGTCAAGCTCTGTTCTAAGGGCGGACAGTTGCTCCATCAATGAAAATTTTTCAGCTTCATGGCTCTTCATAAGTTGCTTGCACTCCTCAGAGTATTTTTGTACGACATCACCATAGATTTGTTGAACTTCGGTTAACTTCCAATGGTAGTGCTCCAGCAGACGCTGCTCAGATGCTTCTTTCTCGTCAGACCACACCGCACGGAGCTCATCCACGTCCAGCAAATTACACTGAACTCCTGTGCTGTCTACCTTTGACGACGCTCGTTCCGATGGCACTGAAGTTGTTCCCCTCTGTGTCTGTGCGCGCAAAAATATAGTAAATACATGCTTAATTGAACAATTTCAAATACACAATTAGGTATTGATTGGAGGATGACAATGCAGTTAGTAGAAAAATGATACATGATCACCATTCGATTATACAGTGTCGATACTAAAATGTGATGGAGGCAATAGTACAACAATAGTAAAATTTGGAGAAGTACTGAGTAAATGGAAGAATTAACTACTGATCAAAACAAGTGTATTACTAACCTGATTATTCTGTTCCGCGAGATGTTTTAACTTAGTATCACTTGAAATCACAGCATTTTTCTCGATTTCAACGTGATGAGGATGAGACTGCAATTGGTCTTTTGCCTTCATAGATTCAATTGTCTTCTCCAGCCTTTTCTTCTCTTCTTCAAGCTTAAAAAAAGCCATTTATTTAGCATTTGATGCAAATCACAACACTTCACACATGAGTACAGCAATGCGCCAAATTTATCAATAATCGATTCAACTGGTTTTTACGTTAGTAATTATATGTATTTTAAAATGCTGAAAAAAATTTCACTGGAATTCTGTTTGAATTTTTTGTTATATGCATCCAAGTCTTTTTTATTCATACATTTCATAAACAATATCACAAGCAGGCTGCAACATTAGAGTGAAGAAAATAGCAAAATAAATTCATTTCATTAAGATTAAGTCCATGATATAACAATTTTCACGTGAATCAACACTACAGCTAACATAAAATTTCACTTTAATAGCTAGCATGCAAATTTCTAAAAAATGGAAATGACCTGCACATCCATTAACATAATTGCAAAATTATCAGCATTATACCTTGATAAACTTGACCAAGACATCTTTGTGATCACGAGCCAATGATTCTAGCTTGTCCAGGTCAACCAAGCTGTGATGCTGCTGTAACTCAACCAGTTGACGGCGCAAGCGGAATACCTGATGCATACAAGTATATATAATTTGATGTAAGCAAAATTTATACTAATGAAATGAATTGCAACACAAGTATCCTCATAAAAATCCACACTTGGTTGAAATTTTGTGGTTTTCTCAATGGAAATTATGGGCATTGCACAGAAACTCCCTGCAGCTTATAAGTCATAATAACCTTTATTGGTCATTTAGATTTTGGATCTGCCCCAAAGACCTCTGAGAAATTCTGAGGCTTCTGATAAGTCTTTTATGAAATTAAGGTGCAAATTAGAGAAATAAAAGCTACATGACATTAGTTACCTATGTGAAATCCATGACAAATTATACGTACTCTGAAAATTACTATTGAGGCAGTAAATATTAGGGTGGGAATAAATAAACAAATGAGGGAATACATTTTTTCTAGTTTACCCCATAATTTTAAACAATTCTTGTTAATTATGATTCATTAAGAAAAATGTGGTAACCTTTTTCTTCAGGGTCTTATTTTTATTTTTGAGAAATGAGTCAGCATAGATGGAAATTCCACTTGAAGTAATTTCTGAGCTCTGTGGTGACAGTGCAGTAGTAGATGGGCCTTGAGCAGCACCAGAAGGAGTGGACTCTGTTGTAGCACTGACACCAAGATTTTTAGGATCTCCTTGACCAGCATGTCTCTTCTGGCGACTGTGGGTGCTGGTGGCTTTAGTATAATACTTGAATTTTTTCACAGGATAATGATACTTTCTCGAGGGCAATTTCTGAAAACAAAAATCAACTTTAGTCAAAATATTTCAATGATTAAGACATTTTAGAGCTAAAGTTTGGACTGGTATTTCAAAGAGACCTTATCCATGGCAAAGAGGGGCTGAAGATTGAGTTGTTTGAAATGATAAGAATAAGAGAAATCTGTGAATATCTAGGTATTTCAGAATAAAATAGTATAAAAAGCACACTTTTGAACTTAGAACCATATTCTTGCAGATTTAACACAAAAAAGAATTAGCAAAGAAACAAGTAAGTGAGGAAGTAACTTACATGGCTGGCTTTGCAGGGTGGATGAATCCAAGGTTGATGATGCAGATGAGAAAAGCAAGTAAAGCAGTTGGAAGGTACAGAACAGCCCTTTAATGCCAGCAAAATTTGATCGGATGAAAGGCAAGACATCATTCATAAGCTTTCATGTTCAATTGAAAAACACAACTAAAAAATGTCTCAAGGATATAGGTGAGAATTTTAGAGTAGTGCAAAAAAAAACTTGTTTTGCAGCTGAAAAATTAATCACTGTGTGCGTTAATTATCAACTTAATTATTGTTGGGTTACCAGCAATACCTACTAAATAATTAATTTATTTGCCAGCACTTTTAGACTAGGGTACAAGGAACACATTCACTTTTTTTAAATTATACAGAAGCTCAATACCAAACATAAGTGATCTGGCCTTTCAAATAAGAAGTATTTCAATACTTCCAATTTACTTAGTTAAATTTTTTTTATTCATTTCTCATTCCTTTATGCTTTGCAATTAACTTGTAATTTATGCAAACAAATGATACAAGCAGTTTAATATTTACAATATTTTATTGGAAATAAGGGTTATTTTACCTTCACTGATGAGAAAGAAATAAGGTTTGGCCTGTTTTGGGTTTGACCCATTGCTAATTTCTTTTCTAAGAAATGAGAAAAACAACATTTTTTGCCTGCAATTTCAAAAATTCCCTTATAAAATGATAGTTTTTTTTATTTGCAATTTTTTTTCAATTTCGCTCAAAATTTCAGATTGGGATTAGGTTAAATGGAAAGAAAACTTACTTATAGATATTGTAATATTTCAAATAACATACATGACAAATTTTGAACTATATTTGTTGTTCAAATTTCATAGGGCCTAGGATAATGGTGTTAATGGTATGACATTTGTAGATATGTTAAGATTTGCCTCTCTGCCTGACTGTAAATCATGACACAAAAGCCATAACTTGGAAACTGGCTTGGAATATATCTAGCTTCTAACTTCCAAGCCACAACCAACATTTTCAGAACTGAGTAATTGCCATTAGACGAATTTTCTTTTATCTAATTATTAATAAAACTGCATGTTCAGTGCTTATATTTCATATGTTTCAAAATCTGGTCACTTTGGAGCTGGAAGATTTCATTCGTAAGCAGAAAAATTCAAATCTAGCTTGGAAACTGGAAGCAAGATTCACCAATTGGAAGAAAGAAGCTGAGGAATGTTTGGCTGTAGACTGTGTAGACTCTGTAGTGAATGGCACTCAATGCTCCAGTGTCATCCAAATGATCCAATGTATCTAGACTGTTTTTATGCCAATGATGGCACACATTGGTAAATTGATTAATTGACATATCAATATGGTAAATTGATTGAGAAGGATATGGCACATTACAAATAATGTAGGTGAAGCCATGATGGATACTAAACAATATGGTAGGCAGACAACAATACAGGTAATATGAGCAGTGCACCAAATGAAGAGGCATATTGCTTGATTTTAAATTTGTGACCAAGTCACCAGACTGTTTGTTCAGACAAAGAATTAGACAAGATTCCAAATTAAGGTTGAGTAGGCTTGATGGACACTACTGGACAGCATATTTTTTTTTTTTTTTTGTTGGGGCTAAGGCTTGTGGGAACAAATGCACCCACCAGCCTGATCTCTGTCAGGAAGAGAAAGCAATGCAGCAGACTCAGAGATCTGCTAGACTTGGTTGTTGCTCCCAATATGCTCTGGGGCAATACAATTTGAGTGTAACCACACACTTGAAGTAGGTCCCAAAGCCAAAGGCTGTTTGTGTCTTTAGATAATCCAGTTAAAAGGTAGATATTCTGGCAATATACAAGTTTCTTATATATTTACATTCATAAATCACAATAGATTTGTCATGCCAGACTGCAAAAAAAATTTTGATAGGCAAGAAAATACTACAGGGCTTTGTGCTGCAAGGAACTTAGCTCCTAAGGCTGAGTTCAGGTTCCAAGGGACTCCAATGTTGCAGATGGGCCACCACACACTGTATTCTCCAAATGTGGTAGCTGTAGTCAATGTAATATTTGAAAATGATGTAATCAATAGAGTTTTCAAAACTTAGTCAGAAGTAGTCACTGCAATCTGTCTGCCCAGTGTTCCTTCATTGGGTTAGGAAGAATTGTGTCAATTGGTGCATTAACTCCTCAAAGCTGACAAAGCACAAGGTTGAACAAGAAGATCTGTTGGCAGTGCCAACAGATCTTCTTGTTCAACCTTGTGGTGTTCTTCTTGTTCTTCCTTGTTCATGGTGGATTTCTAGGAAATTGTTGATCATTTAGATCCACCAGCATGGCGGGAGCGCTCCAGTGCTACCATCAAATGAGGTAATTAGGGACGGGCGGGGTAAATTGGGACAGTTGTCCCACATTTTGTAGAAATGTTGTAGCAGCTAAACTACGGTAATCAAAATATTACAAAACAAAAAATAGTGGCATATGTAAAGTTAAACATTTTTTGTTATCTATGAAACATAAAGTAAGCTGAGAAATTGTACATTTACTACTTCTAAGTTCTAAAAAATCCCTGAAAAAAATGTGAAAAATGAGATTTTGGAAACATACCTCTGCTAAGGTCTGTAGCAAAAAAATATTTGCCGTATCAAAAAATTTTACTTACATAAAAGTTGCACACAGATGTTGGCTTAAAAACGTGATGACAGAATTCGCATATCTCATTCCATTAATAAATGGTGGCCAGTTCCGCATGACAGGTAATAAGAGACACCCCCCGGCCCCCAGGGTAATAAAAGACACCTCTAAAAATGCATTTACAGTAGAACCTTGATTAGTAAAAGCTCCAGTTAATGAAAAAATCAATTAACAACAAAAATTTTGATTATTTTCGCCTCCCTCAGTGAAAAAATTTCACTCAATAAAAAATTAATGCATCATCGGTCATCACAAAATTGTGCATAGAATGTCATAGATATAATTGTGCACTGGGTAACATAGACTGAAAAGTAATTAACCTAAACTATGATTTATTCCTCCAAAATATATTATGGTTGTCACTGGAATATTCCTTTCTGTTATAGATAGGTATGTTTTTACAATTTTTTTTGTTATAGTGAATTCACTTAACCGTATTCAAATGGTGTGAAATTACAAGCCTTCCTGTGAGCTGACAGATACAGAAAACAGAGAAAAGTGCTAGGTATACAGCTGCTGATAATCTTGATATGAAACTTGCAGTAGACAAGGTTGTTGTAGATGCTCAATGGCATGTTAATGGATATGGTAATATCATACCAATAGAGGAAAGACAAGTAAAAATCCCATAAAATGTCATTTATTCTGCACATACATCATCTACAAAGGGAAAGGAAGACTTCAGATTACTGTCAGTAATGAATGAGTACACTCTGCATGCTTCAAACATTTCAAAATTGAGTCTTATTTCAAGTGTCCCGGATTACCCCATTCCCAGGGGTAATTCAGGATGCTTTTATTTTGCATCTGGCACCTTACAAATAGCATATAAAATTTTTTTGAAGATGCCATACAATAGCCCTCGCAAAGAGCTATAAAATGAGCCCAAACATGTATATGGAATGTTTCATGGTGAGAAGTTATTAATGAAAAACGCTCAAAACTGTCCCTTCTTATCACCCTGTTTGATGGTACTCACTTGAGGAGCAAGGGGGGAGCAGGACGATCACACTACTGCTGCTGCCAGCCCACTCACATTGGAGCATGCAGCCATCATGCTGCTAATGGAGCACAGGCACTCCTATTTTTGGCTCTCTGCTCCTCAATTACATAGGTTACTGTAACGGTGTAAGGATGAGTCCACTCCAATAGTAGCAGGAGGGCCACCATCCAGCGCTCCAAAACAAGCAGGCTGGCAGCAGCCGCAAGCAGTGGCAGCGTACTTGTCCCGCTAGCAGTGGCAGCGTGCTTGTCCCGCTAGCAGTGGCAGGCTGGCAGCGCACTCCCGGTCAGTGGTCACATCATCACATGAGCCGATGAGTAGGATAAAAGTGCAACAGGGATCCTGGTGCTGGTGGATCTAAATTCTAAATGATCAACCAATTTCTAGAATTCCACCATGCATAGATACGTGGTAATTTAAAAGGCATTTAGACTTTAGAATGCCACCATCATGGCACCATGCATGCGTTTTGCACTGTGTGAAAGGTTTGCAACCGGGGGAGCAACCCAGTCAGCAATCTCATTGCCTCTCACTCCTAAGGCAGTAAGGCTCTTCACCCAGCAGAGGGAGACAGAGTTAAGGGCTTAAGGCCATTAGGCCCTTCTGTAAATTTGTAAAAGCAGCAACTAGCCAGCAAGTAAATTTTAGACACTATTGCAGCATAAGTGGAGATGGGGTGTCATGTATTGGCCATTGACATTGCATCACTTGCGTGTTCCTAAGTAAGATATAGGTAAGCAGGATTTTGAGTCACTTAAATAAAATCACTGGTGTCTGGTTGGCTTTGAAGATCACATCATTGCCACAAGTCCACAACACAACTCAGGTCAAATTCCAGTGCCTTGTTGTAGATGGCAACAATTTTGCACCCATTATTGTATGGATTTGGGCGTGGTGATTCTGAAAAATAGCATTCCTGAGTCAGGCCTTTGCAACAGGTCAACGGCCATCTGTCACAGTCATGCATCACATGTTTGTTGTTTTTAGGAGAGAAAAGGAAGGCCAGGTAACAGTGACAATCAAAGCAGAGACCAGAGTTGTGTGAAAGTTTGTGTTAAGTGTACCTAAGTCAGTAAGATGAAAAGAAAGAAGGGGAAGAGAAATTGTTGGTGAGGTCGCCGTCACCGTGACTCCATGAGTGGTGACAAACTGACCCTAACTATATTTAGCATAGCATAGCATAGCATAGCAATCTCGGCATCAGATGTTAGGCTTCCACAGCCTGTTGCCGATTCTGTTGTGCCTGGTACTCGTTTCTTGGTCCATACTGACTGCTGATCCTTTGATCAGCTCTAATAAAGGTGGGAAGCTCGTCTACACTGTAGACAAGGTCCCGCATAACACTATCCAGTCTGTTCTTGAAGGCATCGACGCTGGGAGCCTCCACCACCTGTGCCGGCAGTCTGTTCCACCTCTCCACCACACGCTGGGTGAAAAACCTTTGACGAAGACTCGTATTGCAACGCTGCTTCTCCAGTTTGTAATGGTGACCTCTGGTGTTCGTATTCTTTTCCAGTTNTGTCTTGAATCCAAGGCACTTTTTTCTTTGCATGCCCTGTCCCCAACTTGGGTATGCACTGCTCC